GTTACTTTTCTGTTACAGTGATAGAAACACTGACCAAAAAAATTTATAGAAAGAAGAGTTTATTTGAGGTTACTGTTCCAAAGAGGCAAGAGTCCATCATGGCTGAGAGGCATGGCGGCAGAGGTGGCTGGAGAAGGAGCAGAAGCTAAGCTCTACATCTTCAAGTGGGCACAGGAAGCAAGAGAGCAACTCAAAATCCAGCAAGGCTTAAGAATTCTCTAAGCCCACCCCCAGTGACATGCTTCCTCCATCATGGCCCCAACTTCTAAGACCTCCCAAAACAGCACCACCAACTGGGGACAAAATGTCTAAATACTTGGAGCCTATAGGGGATATTTTCATTCAAACCACCACATTCCACCATTGGTCCCCATAGGCTCATGACCATATAAAATGCAAAATGCATTTACTTCAACCTTAAAAGTCCCCATAGTCATTACCATACTCAAATACTATTCAAAAGTCCACAGTCCAGAGTCTCTTCTGAGACTCAGGGAACTATCTTAATTGTAAGCCCCTGTGAAATCAAGACAAATTGCATACTCCCAACATGCAGTGGAACCAAATACACATTCCCATTCCAAAAGGGAAGAATAGAGGCATAGTGAGGAAATACGGAACCAAAACAATGACAAAAAACAGCAGGACAACCACCAAATCCAGTAGCTCCATGCTCGACTTCTGGGACTTTACTTCCAAAAGCCTTAGATGGCTCATCCCCTCCAGCTTTGTTGTGTACAATGTCTTTCTCTTGGACTGGTACCACTCCCTATATGTAGCTCCTCTTGGCAGATGCCTCACAGCACTGGCATCACGAACATCTTCTTGGGGTCTCCATTGCCAACCAGGCTTCACCCTCACAGCTTCACCAAGTGGCCTATCAGGGCCTTCTCTAGGCAGGGGCACCCCTGCTTCATGCTGCCTGGCTTCAGTGGCTCAATGAAACAGCAGAGGAAGAACTGATGACCCCTTCACTCTTCCATCTTTCATGCCTCTAAAGCCAGCACTGGGTGAACGACACTGCCAAGTTTGACTGCAAGTTTGGGATGGACCCCAGCCTGCTTTATCCATTTTAGAAGCTTTTCTCTTCCATGGCCCTGCAGCATCCTTTCACAAGTTGGAGGCTTAACTGGGTGTGGTCTTGCCCTGGAGGCACTCTCTCCATTGTTTAAGTCTGAATCTCTAGGCCCCTCCTTAATCACTTTAATCTCCTTATCAAGGGATCCTCTCCAGCACAGGCCTCCAGCTTTCACCTTCCTAGTGCTCTTTTTCAGCCTAAACTGTACATTCTGTATTTCTTTCTCCACCATTTGCTCTTTTTTCACTGTAGCTCTGCATAATATTCACCATTAATAGCCATGCCACCATTTCTATGTTAGGCTGTCTTGAAATTTCTTCCACCAGAGAAATTAGTCCATTGTTTCTCAACTTAGCCTCAGGCAAATTTTTTGGCTGTGGGCAGACTCCAGCCAGACTATTTGCCAGAATATCCCAGTTCTGGCTTAAGTCCTTATTTCCCTCTGAAACTACATTGTTCTCAGCACTACTTTCTTCCAAGTGCCTAATAGAGTGACCTTTTAAGCTCTGCCTACAACAACCAACAGCTTTTCTAACCCAAACTTCCAAAGTGTTCCACATTTCTTCAAAATCCTACAAGGTCAGGTTCTTCACAGCTGATAGCCCATTCTCAGGTACCAATTACTGTATTAGTTACTTTTCTGTTACTGTGATAGAAACACTGACCAAAGCAATTTATAGAAGAAAGAGTTTATTTGAGCTTATGGTACCAAGGGGCAACAGTCCATCACGATGGGGAGGCATGGTGGCCGAGGTGGCTGGAAGAGGAGCAGAAGCTGGAGTCTACATCTTCAAGCAGGCACAGGAAGCAAGAGAGCCACTCAAGATCCAGCAAGGCTTAAGAACTCTCTAAGCCCACCCCCAGTGACATGCTTTCTCTAGGATAGCCACCCCTTTTAAGCCCTCCCAAAACAGCACCACCAACTGGGGACAAAATGTCCAAATACTTGGAGCCTGTGGGGGATGTTTTCATTCAAATCACCACAGCCACCCTGGACATTCACCCACAGCTCCATCCCAGACATTCACCTACAGCGCCATCCCAGACATTCACCCACAGCTCCATCCCAGACATTCACTTACAGCGCCATCCCCAACATTCACCCACAGCACCATCCTGGACATTCACCCACAGCACCATCCCAGAAATTCACCCCCAGTGCCATCCCCAACATTCACCCACAACACCATCCCTGACATTGACCCACAGTGCCATCCTGGACATTCAGTCACAGCGCCATCCCTGACATTCACCCACAGCACCATCCTGGACATTCAATCACAGCGCCATCCCCAACATTCACCCACAGCGCCATCCTGGACATTCAGCCACAGAGCCATCCCAGAAATTCACCCACAGCACCATCCTGGAAATTCACCCACAGTGCCGGACATTCAGTCACATCATCATCATTTGCTGTATTTTTCCCCCAGTATCTTTGTGTTCAACTGCTCCAATCTTTGCACATCTTCTTTGCATTCAGGTGTACAGCTTGTGATTCCATATTTGCTAAAACAATCCTTAAATTTCAAATGAATTCTGTTATTGCAGACACCCAAAAATTTATATAGAGAGAGCAGACCTTAGTCCAGAATTTAAAATTTGTTAGGCTAACAGTCAACTTAACGTCATACTTTGATGTCTGATGACCAAATCCATACTTCTTTGCTTCCCCACACAAAATCCCTTCCCAAATAATGTTAATTCTTCCACTTACCCTGAACAGAAACTTGCATCATCCTTTATTCTAGTCTTTCACCCCCAACATCCAGTCTATCGGGAAGTCATCATAGATTTCTTCTAAAAACCCCAGGGCCTTGCATATGTTAAGCAAGTGCTCTGCCACTGAACCTGATACCAGCCCACATCTTACATCTATAAAGACATAATTATGCTAAATAACACTGTGAATAACAGTGTACAACAAAGCGTGTTTTTATTGAGTTTGTTGTTAAAATGGCATTGAAAAGAATGGGAAATTCAATGCTTTACAATATGAGGGGTAGAAAATGCTTTACAATAAGATATGGTTGTAAAAATACAGAGTAGGTTACTGAATTAAAAATGCAAATTGTTCAGCTACACAGTGGAAAAAATATGTAGTTTTTTATAATAGTCTATATGTAAAAATGCATTAGGAGATTTTGTTAAATATTCTATGAGTCTGTATTATTACGCATATGCCAGAAAAAGCTTACACAGTTTTAGTCTCCATTTACCAGAAGTTCTACCAAGTGTCACTCATAGTATACAAGTCTTAGACTATGAATTTGGAGTCTGCGTTTGTTGCATCATCCAGATAACCTGGAGCACATTCAGGAGTGACCAAGACAGTGAACCATCTCAAAATCATGTAGATTAGGAAAACCTGAACAAGGTGTGGGAGTTTTTCTTAAAGGTATGTCAAGGAGTATATATCTATATAAAAATGGTTAAAACATCAGCTCTGTAAAAAGGGGCCTTATATGTTCCCCTCAACCTCAAACCTTCTTTTTTTTTCTAATCTTCCATTGGTGAACATTTATTCTACGTGTACTGTGTTACATTTTCATCAGTCTGTGATGTACTTTGAGCATATTCCTCTCATTCTCTCCTTCCCTCCCGTTTCATCCCTCCCCCATCCTATTAGTGCCCTGTGTTCCCCTAGACAGTCTCATTCCTACCTTCATGTCATATAAACATAGAACTTGTGTGTACCATGTGAAATGTAGGAAACACAAGTAAGAGAAAATTTGATATTTGTCTTTCTGAAACTGACATCTCTTAATATGATTATCTCCTGCTGTAGCCATTTTCTTGTAAATGACATCATTTCTTCATGGTTGAAAAAAATTCCATTGTATGTATATATCACATACATTTTCTTTATCCATTCTGTGTTGATAGACACTAGTTTGGTTCTATAACTTAGCTATTGTGAATAGTGCTGCAATAAACATTGATGTGCAAGTATTTCTGTGGTATGTTGACTTGAAGTCCTTTGGAAATATTCCCAGGAGAGGTGGGGCTGGATCATGTGGCAGATCTAGTTTTATTTTATTTTGGAACTTCCATGCTAATTTCCATAGTGGTTGGAGACTAGTTTACATTCCTATCAGCAGTATATGAGGGGTCCTTTTTACCTATATCTTTGCCAATATTTATTGTTACTTGTTTTCTTAATGACTCCCATTCTTACTAGAGTGAAATGGAATCTCAATGTAGTTTTAATTTGCATTTCTCTGATGACTGGTAATTGTGAATACTAGTCCAAAATACTTCAAGTCAACCTCAAAGTTTCTGATCCCTCATTGCTTTGATTTATTATTTTTTTCTTGGACAAATCACTATTAGTATACTGTATATTCTACTTATTGTTATTTGGTTCCCATTTCCAAATTCTTACTGTGATACAAGTGACACGAAGACAGGATTTTCAGGTTGTATCTGCCATATTTTATTCACTTACTACTTTAACCCTTGTGTTTAAAAAAGGGCCTGGTTTATAGTGTTTAACAAATACTTTCTGAATGATGAATAGCTATAAGAATTATAACTATAACCAATGGTAGAAAGCTCAAGGGATTAAAATTTTATTCCTAATGGGGAAAACTTTGTTAGAAAAATTAAAATTTGAATATTCTGGATCAGAAACTAGTGAATGCTCAGACTTTGGATGTGTTTTAAAGCATATGCTTCTTGAGTGAATGCTTAGTATACATACTGTAGACATTGTGAAAATAAGAATTTGATACCTGTTTTCATGATTAAATTCTTTAATTAATAAATTTGAATAAATTTATTAAAACAGTGAGAGTCAATAAATTCTCAAGTTAAACTTAAAGTTCTATGTATGATCTATGGCATAATACTGCTTGGTTTTAAAGTTTGAGAAGTGCATATAGCAATCTTTCTCATTTTCTGTTAATATGTTTTTTTAAAGCAGTGATTCGGAAACACAGTCCTCTCAAAATTTGGGAACCTTTATTGTGGAAACATCCCAGAAAATAAGCCTTGGAGAAGGTGGCAGAGACCAGAAAGACAGTGATCAGACAGAAGATGGGCAAGCACAAGGAAAAGAAGTGCAAACATACTCACATACAGATGACAAGACTTCTAAGGTAGACAAGACATTTTGTTTCATTTAAGCTATGTCTTAAAGTTTATCTCATGCTCTATAACAAATCAGTAAATTTTGCCATTCATTACAGTAAAATCCTTAAAATTAAGTCTGTTTTAAAGTAGATATTAAAAATACTACATTTGCAGGCTGAAAAGATGGCTCAGTGGTTAAGAACATTGGGTGCTCTTGCAGAGGACCTAGGTTCAGTTTCCAGCACCCTCATGGCAGCTAACAACTGTCTCTAACTCCAGTTCCAGGGAATCTGACACTGTTTTCTGGCCTCTGTGGGCATTGCATGTATGTCATGCACTTAGATACATGCAGGCAAAACACTTGACTGTACACAGAAAATAATTTTTTTTGTCTTTTTGAGGCAGGATCCATCTGTAGCCTCACCTAATCTGGAGCTCACTATGTAGACCAGGCTAGCTTTGGTCTCATGGAAATCTGTCTGCCTCTGCCTCCCAAGTGCTGGGATAAAATAAAATAAAAAAAAATGTTTTAAAGTACTCACTTTTGAAGTATCTTGAGTAACAATTTTCTATATTTCCATAGATAAATAAATAGAAAATAAATACTATGCTTATAAATCTTAGGATATTTATAATCTCAAGCAAAGGAAAGAAAAAAAACTTCTAATAAATTCATTATTATAATGTTTTTAAATTTATGAAATATCCTCCCTCTGCTTCGCTGGGCCTGCATGACCTGCAGCAGGCCTCTCTCCTACCCACAGGCTTCTCTCCGGGGTAAGTCCATTGCGCCCTCTGCACAGTGACTTCCCCAGCCTCATTCACCCTCCCATCTCCACCTCTGTTCTCTCCTCCGAGTTTGGGCCCTGCTCCAATCCTTGTCTTGGGGCCCCAGACAGCTGGGGAACCAATACTGCTCCCTGATCCTTTTCATCCAGACCAATGGTAGTGTCTACTCTGGGGCCAAGGAGCACTGCTTCTGGGCCTGGCCCCACCCTCACCTCCATCTGCTTCCCTGGGCCTGCACCACCTGCCAGCTTCTTTCTGGGACACTGGGGCTGACCTTTCCTCTTCCTGATCCTTTGCATCCAGACCAACCCAGCTCCTCAGTGCAGTCCCCAGGAGGCCTTCAGGCCTCTTCCCGCACCCATCTGACTTTCCATCTCTTGGTGGCAGGGCCACCAGCTGCCCTAGACCAGCATCTTTCTTGGGCCAGGCTCCCAGGCCAGTCCAACTCCCAAATTCCTGAGGCCAAAATTGTTCCTGGAGGGATTCAGAACTTAGGAGAAAGCCTGAAAACATCTGACCCTCATCTGAATTTGGCCTCTGTGGGAACTCCTGAAGACAAAAGCAATCCGGCCACTCCAATCTAAAATCAAAGGAAGAGAACCAGAAGCTTAGATGAACCAGCTCTTCATGCCCAAAAAGTAAACCACAAAGACACATAAAGTTCACAAAAAGAAGCAGACCTAAACTTGAAGGCCTGTGTCTCACACAAGAATCAGAAACTACAAAAGAAATTCACATGTCGAAATCACAGAGAAAAAATAATAACATGAAAAACCAAAATAATATAGCCCCACCAAATACCAGTAGTACTCTAGAGGAGTATAATGAGAACCCCCTAGAGATAATGCAGGACATGGAACTCAAAATAACAATTATAAACATGGTAAAAGAATTCAGTGAATTTAAACAACACACAAATAAAGAAATCAAAGACCTGAAAGAAGATAGGGATAAACTTCTGAATGAATTCAGAAAAGTTAGAAATAGTGAAGAATACTCAGGCTGAAATGAAGAAGGAAGTAAAACACTCAGTAAGCCAATTAGAAATGACAGGAGAAAGCCTCACCACTAGGATGAATGAAATGGAAAACATGGTATCAAGACTGGAAGATAAAGTGGACAAACGAGACCACACAAGCAAAGACTATGAAAAATTTAAGAAATCAAAAGAATGGAATATGCAGAAATTGAGTGACACCATAAAAAGACCAAACGTACGAATCATAGGCATACAGGAAGAAGAAGAATCCCAAGATAATGGGATGGACCAGATCTTCAGCAGAATCGTGGAAGAAAATTTCCCAAAATTGAAGAAAGACATGCCTATACAAATACAAGAAGCATATAGAACACCAAAGAGACAGGACCAGGAAAGAAACTCTCCATGGCACGTCATAGTCAAAACAGCAAACATACAAAGCAAAGAGAGAATAATGAAAGCTGCAAAAGAAAAATAAGTCACATTAAAAAGTAAAACACATCAGAATTACAGCTGACCTTTCAGTGCCAACTATGAAAGCCAGAAGAGCCTGGACCAAAGTATTCCCAGTTGTAAATGACCACAGATGACAACCCAGATTACTTTACCCAGCCAAAATGTCTATTGTAGTCAAAGGGGAGTGATGAATCTTCCATGATATAAAAAGGCTGAAAGAAATCATGTCCAGAAAACCAGCCCTTGAGAGAGTTCTTGAAGCAATACAAAAAGTACAGCTACATTATGAAAGTATATAGAAATAAAAATGACAGGATTCAATACTCATCTTTCATTAATAACTTTAAATATTAATGGACTGAACTACCTAGTCAAAAGACAGACTAGGTGAATGGGTTAAGAAACAAAACCCATCTTTTTGTGGTCTCCAAGAAACCCATCTCACTTTCAAGGACAGACACTATCTTAAATTGACAGGATGGAAAAAAATATACCAAGCAAATGGTACTAAGAAAAAAGCAGGCATAGCTATTCTAATATCTGACAAAAGAGACTTTAAACAAAACCTAATCAGAAGAGATAAAGAGGGCCACTTCATTCTGATCAAAGGAACAATAAATCAAGAAGACATTACAATCCTGAATATATACTCACCAAACTCTGGTGCACCCAACTTCATAAAAACAATACTACAGGACTTTAAGACCCAGATTAACCCCAACTCATTAATAGTAGGGGACTTCAATACCCCACTGTTTCCATTAGATAGGTCAACAGGGCAGAGAGATAATAGAGAGAGAGACATCTGAATTAAACAATACCATATATCAAATGGACTTAACAGACATCTACCGAGTATTCCACCCAAGCACCAAAGGACATACTTTACTCAGCACCTCATGGAACGTTCTCCAAAACTGAGCATGTACTGGAGCACAAAACAAACCTCAACAAATACAAAAAGATTGAAATAACTCCATGCATTCTATCAGACCACAATGCAATAAAGCTTACAATCAATACCCAAAGAAGCCCTAATCACCACATGAACACATGGAGATTAAACAACACACTCCTGAATGATGTATGGGTCAAAAGAGAAATTAAGAAAGAAATAAAAGTATTCATGGAATTAAATGAAAAGACAGTATAACACGACTAAACCTCTGGGACATGCTGAAAGCAGTTCTAAGAGGGAAGCTTATAGATCTAAGTGCCTACATGAAAAAATCAGAAAGAACACAAATGAGTTAACATTGCAACTCAACACACTTGAAAAGCAACAGCAAACGAAACCCAAACCCAGCAGACAAGAAGAAGTAACAAAAATCAGGGAAGAAATTATTGAAATTGAAACAAAGAAAACGATACAAAGAATCAACAACTCCAAGAGCTGGTTCTTTGAAAAGATAAACAAGATTGACAGACCACTAGCCCAGTTAACCAAAAGAAATAAAGAGCACCTCCAAACCAACAAAAGCAGAGATGAAAGGGGAAACATCACAACAGACACCAGAAAGATACAGAACATTAGAAGGGAATATTTAAAAACCTATATGCTACTAAATGTGAAAACCTAAAAGAAATGGATGATATCTAAAGGCATGGGAACCACCAAAACTAAACCAGGAAGAGATTAACAGCTTAAACAGACCCATAGCAGAAAAAGAAATTGAAACAGTAACACAAAACATCCCACCTAAAAAAAGCCCAGGACCAGATGGATTCACAGCAGAATTCTATCAGACATTTAAAGAAGATCTGCATCCAATATTACTTATTTAATTCAAAAAGATAGAAATGGAGGGAGAACTTCCAAATTCCTTCTATGAAGCCAGCATCACTCTAATACCAAAGCCAGGTAAAGATACAACCAAAAAAGAAAACTATAGACCCATATCCTTAATGAACATAGATGCAAAAATTCTCAACAAGATACTTGAATCCACATACAGACACACATCAAAAAGATCATACACCATTGATCAAGTCGGCTTTATCCCATAGATGCAGGGGTGGTTCAATATACGTAAGTCAATAAACGTCATAAATCATATAAATGGGCTCAAAGACAAGAGCCACATGGTCATCTCAATAAATGCAGAGAAGGCCTTTGACAATATTCAACATGCATTTATGTTCAAAGTCCTAGAGGGAATTGGACTGGAGGGAACATACCTCAACATAATTAAAGCCATATATAACAAAACCACAGCCAACATCATTCTAAATGGAGAAAAACTGGAAGCATTCCCATTGAAATCAGGAACCAGACAAGGCTGTCCACTGTCCCCACTTCTCTTTAACATAGTGCTTGACACTCTTGCAAGAGCAATAAGACAAGAGAAAGAAGTTAAAGGAATAATAATTGGAAAAGAAGAGAACAAATTATCCATTTTTGCAGATGATATGATATTATATTTGAGGGACACCAAAAATTCCACCCCAAAACTCCTAGAAATTATTAACACGTTCAGTAAAGTGGCAGGTTACAAAATTAACCTACAAAAGTCTATAGCCTTTCTATATACCAATAACAAACAATCAGAGAAAGAGCACATGGAGACACTCCCATTCATAATAGCTGCAAAAAAAAAATAAAATATCTCGGCGTAATCCTGACCAAAGACATTAAAGATCTCTACAATGAAAAATTTAAATCTTTAAAGAAAGAAATTGAGGAAGACATCAAAAGATGGAACGACCTCCCATGCTCATGGATTGGAAGAATTAATATTGTGAAAATGACCATCCTACCAAGAGTCATATATAGATTCAATGCAATGCGAATCAAAATCCCCA